TGCAACAAGCTCAAAGAGTCCTGGTCTGTAAACATCTCTTCATCCATCTCAGAATCATTCATTTTGGACGTCCTCACTGTGTTCCTACAGGAAAAAGAAACACCCACAGGTTGGGTACACACAGAGCAACTCCTGCATGTGACCACTTCGTACAATCAGACAATCTGAAACAGATTTTAGCAATCTAACCACTTTTGCATACTCTCCTCTAGCTGCTAACACATCAAAGCCTGTAGCTCATTCAGGAAATGGGTGCTACTTTGGGTTAAAGTAATTTTTATACTTTTCAATATTTAATTAATTTACAAATATCCCCCCATTTAAAAATACTTAAGATCTTTTTAACTTATTCAAATCATCTCTTTAAAATATCTGGATCTCTTTATATCGTCTTATTATGCCTTTACCTTTGATATATCATTTTAGCTCATTTCATTTTAGTTAGCATGGTTTAACAGTAGCTTATAGCTTATAGTTCCATTTCTGTTACTCAGCATTTTGCTCCTTAAAACCTTTAGCATCCATTGGTCTAGTTTTAGCTAGATTTTTCTACTTTAAGGTTAAGCTAAATTTATCTATTTGCTAGCCTCTGTTGCTTTTAGTTTGCGACTACCAGTCTATAAACTACCAGTCTGGTAGTTTTAGTAAGCCATTTGCTTCTTTTAGCTTTTACATAGCATTTTACTAAACTTAGCTTGTAGCTACAGTTCTGCTAATTTTAGATACCTGTTGCTATTAGCTAACATTTTGACACTTTAAGCGTCTGGCAACCATTTCTCGATGTTTTGCTACATTTAGCTTCTAGCTACTGTTATTCTAACATTTATTATTAGCTAGCCTTTGTTACCTTTAGTTTGTAGTGACTGTTCTGCTACTTTTAGCTACCTTTCTGGTATCATTAGCTGGCCTTTTGCTAAATACCCTTCTACTTTTACTTTATTAAGTTTTTATGCTGCTGTTCTGTCAACTTTAGCTTTTAGCTATCCTTTTTTTTGTCTTGTAGCTACCATTCTGTTAGTTATAATATACTTTTGCTACTTTTAGCTAGCATTTTGCCACTTTTAATTTCTAGTCACTCTTCTGCTACTTATAGCTTTCATCTATACAGAGTCTTAACTAAGTTTTCTTTGACTAAATTTACAGACTTTTCATGTTTATAGGGTATTACGCCTGTCTTTAAGCCAGTATGAATGAGTGACTGAGTTTGGTGTTTTTGTTATCTGGTTCTTCATAGTGACATTTAAAACATTCAAGTTGTAATAAAGACACACAAAAAACCATATAGGACTTACAGTTCAACAAGTTACTGAACCTATATTTTGTCGCAGACTTAACATTTATGTTAGTTTTCAGTAAACTACTTAAAACATTAATACATGTCATCAGCTGTTCATTGGTTTAGGTTTAATATCTGGTATAAAAATCTGGTCACATGACTTTTGTTTTTACAAAGTCATCTTATCTAAATAAAACTTTACTATAGCCTACATTTTAAAACAAGATAATTTTGTAGTTGTCATTTGAAAAACAAACAAAAACATCGTAACAATAAAAACAGAAGGAAGTACTATTTGGCTAAGCTAACTGCCTAGCTAGGTTAGCACTTATAGTAAATAAATTTTTTTGATAAACATGCACTCATATTTGCAGCTAGCTGTAAAAAAAATAATCTTACAGCTAGCCTTTCTTACAGCTTACTTGACATTAAACAAGTTATGAGTTAAAAAGTAACAATTTAATTTCCCTGTACCTTTAAACTGTTAATGCCCTCATTAGCGTAGCTGTCGGCGCGAAAATTTGATGCTATACGCATGCGCAGTTCAAATTGTGCTGCATTCAAAGCAACTCGGAATCCAGATCATCTTACAAATTTGGTTTTACTAGACAACTAAACAACATTTAGGCACATTAGCTATTTTCTGATGCTCAAAATGTGTCGACTACTGTTCTTATTAGTATTTACCAGTTGACTAGTTACATTTACTGTTTACTAGACTATTTAATAGACTATTTACATTTAATTTTCTACAATTGCTCCGCTCTAGGTGGCTGCATGTTGGAGCAGCTCTGTTACTTTCATTCTGAGATTTTGCTTTTGGAAACATTAATTCTTCTTTTTCTGGATGTAAATTACATTTTTTTGGATGATTGGTTCCTCTGGTACCAGATGCTGTGCAGCTGGAAGGATTTTTACTGAAACTTTTTTTAGTTTTGGACATTTGTTATGATGCGTAACCATGGCAACAAGGCAGTTTTCTACAACCAGGAGCAGCTGATTAACATCTCAAAAGCTCAAATAATATCTCAACTACAGCCCCAAATCTCAAATGAGTTGAAAAGGATGTTCTGTGGATGCATTCTCATCTACCTGCCAGCTGTGCTTGAGTGCCTGACCACTGAGATCCTGGAACTAGCAGGAAACACGGCTCGTGACAGCAGAAGGACAGGATTGTCCCTCGGCACCTACAGTTGGCTGTCCGCAGCGACGAGGAGCTCAGCAGGCTGCTGGGAGGCGTGGCCATCGTTCTGGGAGGAGTTCTGCCCAGTATTTGGGCGGTCCTACAGCCCAGGGGAACAGAGAGGCCAGCTGAGTCTGGGTGGACGGCTCGGACGGCATCTGCAGCCAGTTTCTTAGGATCCACTGTGGGATGGACCTTTACAAGAGATCCTTCCTGCCTACAGCATCAGCATCTATAACACCTCTTAATGGAATAAGGATAACGAGTTACAACAACAAATAATTTCCCTTTGGGATTAATAAAGTATTTTTGAAATGAATTGAATAAAAAAAAAAAAACACATTTTTTGCTTTACTAGTTAATTGTGTGGCTAAAATCTATTAACTGGTGCGTTTAAGATGCTATCCAAAGTGAGGCCAAATTTAAGAATTAGTCTTTTTGGTTAAATGCCAAATATTTATGCACATTAGTCAACTAGTTGACAGGTTTTAGTCAAACTGGTTAACTCTGTTTTTTGTTACTTTTTTTAGCCATCTTATTTGTAAAAAAAAAAAATAATAATAATCTGTATGCCTTTTTATAACGTCTATTGTTTTCATCTTTCTTTGTTGAAATCAGGTCTCTCTTGTAAATGAGTCCTCGAGGCTCAATGGGATTAACCTGTATAAATAAAGGTTGAATGAAAAAACTAGCAGTGCCAACATTGCATCAACTAGTAAACATTTTAGTGGTCATGAACTCTGGGTAGTGACTGAAAGAATGAGATGGTGGATACAGGAGGTTTAAATGAGTTTCCTCTGCAGGGTAGCTGGACTCTCCCTTAGAGACGGGGTGAGAAGTTCAGTTATCAGGAGAGACTCAGAGTAGGGCCGCTGCTCCTCCACATCGAGAGGAGCCAGTTGAGGTGGTTCATCTGGTAAGGATGCTTCCTGGGTGCCTTCCTAAGGAGGTACGTTGGGCATGTCCGACTGGGAGGAGACCCCAGGGAAGACCAAGGACACGCTGGAGAGACCATGTCTCTCATTTGGCCTGGGAACACCTTGGAGTCCTCCCAGAAGAGCTGGAAGAGGCTGTGGAGAGAGATGTCTGGACCTCCCTGCTCAAGATGCTGCCCCCAAGACCCGACTTCAGAACAAGCGGAAGATGATGGATGGATGGTCGCAACATAGGCTACTAGTGCAGATGTTTGTGTGTTTATTTAATATTAATGTCAAACATTATTTTTGCCCAATAGTTTGAGTACACTGCTCTAGTTAGAGGAGTCATTCTAATCAGACATTTTGTGTTACACTTGTAACCAAAAGACCAAACTTACTGGTCTTTAGATGCATTAATGGATCACTAGTAAGGACAAATTTAGGCTAACTAATAAACAGTTCAGACACAGATGAAAGGTTTAGGTCACACTAATAACTATTTAAGCCTAAAGAGTGTTAACTAGTCTAAATTTGTTTTGACTGGTTACAATGTAAGGATTTTCTAATCTTACTAGTTAACCTGTACAAAATATTGGGCAACTAGTTCGATCCAGTGGTCCATTTTGGTTTGAAGGTCAATTAGTTGGGACATTTGGACAAAAGTGAAGCTAGGTGGTAAAAAAAACAAACTATTAGTACAAGTATTTGTTGAAATAGTGCAACAAATTGTGCTGTATAGTGGGTAAAAATGAAGCTCGATATAAAGTGTATCAAATAAATACAAATGTCTATATATACTGTATATGATATATAATTTATCTTGTATATCTTAGAGCTTTATATACAGCTTCTTTAGTACTTGATATTTTTGCCAATTTGGGGTGTAACTGGGACTCTGAGTACACAATCTCGTTCCACCTCATGTACCACATGTGATGCAAATGACAATAAAGATACTGGAAATATTTTATCTTCTATTCTCTTCTTTTGCCAGAAATCCTAAAAACATGTCCTGCTGCCATCTACTGGAGTGACTCAGGCCCTGCTGCAGAAAGTACACAGTAAAATTTACTACGAACTCTAAAGTGTCCGCTCACTCTGATTCTGTGCATTTGTTCAGCTTGAAAAGTGAAATATTGTCAGGAGGAGATGATTCTGTAAATCTTTATCTTAACGCAATGACATACCTGGTGGTGGCAGATTTATTTAATCATTAAAATATATATTTTGATTCATTTGGTCATTGCATTTAGCAACAAATAAATGTACAAAAGTAATACAAGCAAGACTGAGCGACGCATTTATGCACACGTTGCGATTGCTCACGCTGCTTAAAATACATACGTCATTTAGATTAGACATCATAAATATATTCTTAGTTTGAACTTTAAAGATATTGAACTTTACCAATTGGCTTTTATGTGAATGTTCCTGTAAAGTGCCATGAGACAACTTTGCTGTGATTTGGCGCTTTATAAATAAACTGTATTGACTTGAATTAAAGCTGATGTGGGCCAAACTGCTGCAGAGTCCGAGGAACTACCACACCGTCAGAAAACTAGTTCCAACAAGAATTTTGATTTTAAGTTCAGAAAAAGCAAAAAAAAAAAAAAGTTCATTCATCTTCTTTATGACTTTATTGGCATGAGTAGGAAAAAAGCAGCATGGTGGTGCCTCTGCTCAGTTTTTAAACCCACTTCGCCCGTTTTTGCGACTAGTTTTACGCCATCTTTTATTTCTTTAGTCTTCAGTTTAAAACGTTTCAAACATCTGTGCCTTGGGTCAGCTCTGAAGAACAACGTGGAGATTTAGGAACGCCCGAGGCAGCAGGTTTCCTGTTGGCTTCAGTCGTCTCCGCCGCAGATCGCCTTCAAACATTCCCCGAGTTCCCCCGACAGCTCCGACTGCACGACACAAACAGAAAGAACGAAAACACCGACGTAAAAAAAGTAACAGCTGGATCACACCTTTTCAAAACAAAGGTCAGAAATTCAACCAGTTCTGCACGTTTAAGTTTGAAAAAAAAAAAAAAAAAGTTTTCCATCAGATTTTTTTATTCCACTGATCTATTTTTTTTAATATATTTGAAACACAGCCGTTTATTTTTATCACTCATCACCAGAAAGTGAAGGTAGATGACGGTGAGCGCAGACTGAGCCACACAGTAAGAGGCTGAATTATTTATTTTCAAGGTTTGATGAAAACAGTTTTGATCAAATTTGTCAGATAAATTAATTATCCTGTCATCAAATCATTGCTCAAATAAGCCACTGAGGATACGAGATTTGTCAACCCAGTTTACTCCTTGTAAAGGGGGAGGGCGGAGTTAACAGATGTTTACACAGATGTGACACGAAGCTCCGGTCAGAAGGTCTGCCCACAGAAAACATAAAAAATAAAAAATATAAAAAAGTATTTTTATAATGTTTATCAGACAGAGAGGAGACCTTGGAGTTCATCGTGTGTGCAGGCTCCTCTCTGTTCAGACTAACTCATACATGGTTCTACGTTACCATATTTTCTGCCCTACAAGTCGCAGCTTTTTGCTTAATTTGCACACTTATACGCCAAAGCCACTTATTTATGGATTTTTCCCATATTTATAAACCAATCTGACCATTTTCATTCATTCTGACTGAAAATATTGAACACTACCATTTTCAGCCGCTAGATGGCACTTGAGTAGTATGGCATGCCATTGTGTTGGGTAATAGGTACACGTGGCTATTAATGACACAATCGGCTTGCCATAGACTGCCGCCTTTGTCCAGCTCGCCTGGAGCAACCGTCAAATCAGCTTCATTTCACTGCCCCGGTGAAATGCAGCTGATTTGACGATTGAAGTGCATTTATTAAGTAAAAGTTCAACTGAGACACATCTTTACTATAATGTTGAGCAAACAAATAATTGTTTTTAAGTGTTAATCTTGTTAAATTCTAGTTAAAGTCCTCCCATACACGCTCCCGCAGCCGCCATTTAGCAGCCAATCGACTTTTGGCACAACACCGGCCCACGTGTCTGGGTTGTCAGCGGTGACGCATAATAAATGTGACTTATACGGCAAAGCAACGTATTTATGGATTTTTTTTCACTTTATTAGATATATTTGGACTGCTGCGACTTAAATACGGTAATTTAACGTTAGTGATAACATCCATGACCTTTACATAAATTCCCCTGACATATTCCCCCCTGTTCATGGTTGTTTAACACTTTATCAAAAACTCTCTTGCAAGTTTAGGACGCCTCAGCTTGTGGTGGAAAACCCTCCCAGGGCAAAATCATTCCAGTCAGGTGGGAAACACCGCATCACCTCCACGCCGCTTTGACGGTGGCCCTTAACGGCACATTTCAGCATCCCTCCCGGGTGAAATCAGTTCAAAAGAAAATCATAAAACAAACAAAAACAAAACATAGAAATGATAAAACAACAAAAACTTAGACAGAATGACATTATCCACCTTCATTTAAACCAGCAGTTCCCAACCCTGGTCCTTGAGGAACACCACACTGCATGTTTCAGTTTATCTGCGCCGACACACCTGATTTTAATGAATGGGTGATTAACAGGCTTCTGCAGAACGTGAGGAAGTAATTAAATCACTGAACCAGGTGTGTTGGATCAGGGAAACAACTGAAACATGCAGGATGGTGTTCCTCAGGGACCAGGGTTGGGAACCATTGGTTTAACCAAAAACATCTCAGTGTTCCTCTCACTTTATGAGGTTAGAAAACAGGAGAATTTCTCTTTAATGGCAAAGTATGAACATCAAGCGTCATCTTCCTCACCGGAGGGTTCAAAGGTCAACTAGTTGGGACTCGTGGGCGACGAGTGCAGATGTTTGTGTATTTATACAAAGAGTCGTTTTCGCCCAACAGTTTGCAACTAGTGCACACATTTGACAGTCTCCAGTCAACTGGTAAGTAATATTTGTCTTGTCTGGTCAACATGTAAGGATTTTTTTAGTCAACTTGTCCAACACAGTTGTTGACAAGTTCGGTCCGGTGGTTCATCATTGAGTTTAAAGTCCACTCAGTTCAACTAGTTGGTACAAAAAGTCACAGCAACAAGTGTTGGTTTTGGTGTTAGACGATAATGAGTCCAGGTCGTTAAAAACAATAAGTGAACAGTGAAGGTTCGGAATCATAAAAACTTGATTTTAAGTCAAATGGGTCAGAAAGTTTCACCTCCTCCTTGAGAGACTCTGGTCTCCATCAGCAGATGTCACTGATGCTGGAAGTCTTTGGGGTGGGGGAGCTCAGGGTTCGGGGGGGGGGGGAGGTCTGGACTTTCAGAACCAAACACAGTCAGAGATCTGGTCTCACTGGAGTTCATTAATCTGGCTCATCGTGCACCAGAACCACAGCCTTCATCGTCTTGTCTGCACTGCTGAAACAAACTGAGGTCGTCTGTTTAGGAAACCTCCAAATGACGCAAACGTTCACAAATTAAAAAAAAAAAAAAAACTCGTTCTCATTAAAAATGGAACTGCTTGAAGCCAACGAGACGAGAAACGTACTCGCCAAGCGCAAGACTTTTGTGTTGCATGTCGAAATAATTTACGACTTGTTCATTTTCGCCCGGCTGGAACCGTTTGGTCCAAGCAAAATATCTCATGAACCAAAGTTACTGGATGTGCAACTACAACATCAACATCTGGACGCAGACCAATCAAGATGGCCGCCCCAACTAAGCAACCTTAGCTGTAACTCAGGTAGTTGTACAGATATTGATATGGCTCTTAAATCAGTAACAGCCCTCCAACAAATACAGGATTTAAAGCCTCAGAGACAAACACCAGAGTCAGATCTCTGTGATGCTGCTCCACGCCCGGCATAATCTGGCTGCAGCTGCAGCTCAGGAATAAATGTGAGATTAAAACAGAACAAATCGAACGAGTGGAGGTGAAGCGGTGGTTGCACTCACCTCGAGCTCACAGAGCAGAGAGCGGTTGTACAGCTTCTTGAACTCGGCTCTGATGTCCAGCAGGTCGATCTCAGACCGGCTCACCATGATCCGGATCAGCGTGGACTCATCGGTACCACCGCCCTGCAGACCCAACGTACACACAGAACCTGAACGTACGTCCAGTAATGACCTGCGTTTGTTTAACACTTGCACTTGAAAATTCTTCTCATCTTATGATGTGGGGTTCTGTGTAAATATGTATGAACAAAATATTTGGACTATCCCTTTAAACAAAACAATATTACAGCAAAACTCAAAGTAGACAAATATCTATAAATTAGTTTTTATTGTGTGTGTGCTAGTAAAAATACATTTTTTAAATATAACAAACATACGATCAAGCTTAGATTAATGCATTACACCAAAATAAGACAATTGTGGCCATAAAAATATTTTAGTTTTAACTTGACTTAATTTACTCTCCATAATGTATATGGAAGTCTGTTATGGCCATAAATTACAAAAAAAACAAAAAAAAAAACCTCTTGATTTAATTTACTCTCCATTATGAATATAGAAGTCTATTTTAGATATAATAAATACAATAATTTAGTCCAACTTGACTTAATTTATTGTCCATAATGTATATGGAAGTCTATTATGGCCATAAATTACAAAAAAAAAAAAAAAAAAAAAAAATCATTTGATTTAATTTACTCATTATCAATATGGAAGTCTGTTATGGCCATAAATTACAAAAAAAAAAAAAAAAAAAAAAAAAAAACATCTTGATTTAATTTACTCTCCATTATGAATATAGAAGTCTATTTTAGATATAACAAATACAATAATTTAGTCCAACTTGACTTAATTTATTGTCCATTATGAATATGGAAGTCTATTATGGCCATAATAAAAAAAATAGCCCAATTGCCACATTATTAGAACAACTCAATTATAAAATTATTTATTTATAAATAATTTCCCAGAATAAAATACATAATTTTATGATTTAAGTCCTTTCAGCAGAAGTCATCTGGAAACTGTTGCTTTGAATAAAACACACCTGAAAGCAACAAACACTCACCTTCATGCTCTCGTGCAGACGCTCTGCGAAGTATGCCGGGACGCTTTTCACGCATTTCACTGGAAAACAGCAGCAGCTAAACGTTTACGAAAAAGACGAGCTAAAAAACAGTCGATCCAGAATCAGTTCACCGACCGACAGCCACCAGCAGCTGCTCCAGCTCGCCGCTCATCTCTCCTTCGATGCTCTGCTGCAGCGTTTTCCCGCTCAGGTTTTTGTATTCGACCAGAGCTGCAGAAAATGGCCGCCGTCAACATCTGGACTGGTGTTCACAAATAATTCAGAGTTTAAAAAGAGTCGGATGAAATGAACCCAGAGGGACGTACTCTGCCGAAGCTGGGCGATGCTCCTCCGGCAGAGGACCTCGATGAACTTGGACTCGTCAGTGCCCCACTTCTTCTCTCCGGCAGCGTAGAGAGCCTACAAACAAACAAACAAACAAACAAACAAACAAAACATTTTAAATTTGGGTAAGCTAAACAGAGACAGATGGAGTTTTTGTGGTTTCAGGCTCCACCTCAGCGTCTTGTTTGGCTTTTTCTTTGTCTACGTTGGTGCTTTCGTCCCTGTTGCCCTGGAAACAAGAAAACCACTTTAGATTAACAGATTAGATTATTTTATTCCCAACACGATTCTGAGGAAAAACCAGAGAATAACGGAAAGCTGAACAACAGCTGAAATCAGCTGAAGAATTCATTAGTACAGTTAAAAGAAGCAGAATAGAAGCTCAAATCAGCAAAACCATAGCTAAAGACTCAAAATAGCTAAAGACTCAA